GGGGAGGAGGGGGGGGGGGGGGGGGGGGGGGGGGGGGGGGGAGGTTGGATGTGCCCCTGGAACTTTTGTGTTTCAGTTTGTATTCCGCTCTTCATATTGATGAAATATTGTTTCATATAAAAGTAATAGGAAAAATAAATAAATGCAGTCTTATTTCTGCAACATTGTCCTTCAAGTAGGTTTGCCATTGTGTATTAATTTCCAGTGACGTTTTGTTTGTTCTCTATGATCTCAATACATATGAGCATCTGATCTTTGTACATGCAGTATTATAATGAAGATAGAATTTAATCCAAATTCTTTAGTCTTATAAGTATATGTTCTCTTAAATGTATGTGTGGTTACTTGCAGCTTATCTTTGTATATGTGCAAACGGATAATGAAGATATTGGAAAGCCAGTTTCAGATTATTTTGGTGTCACTAGTGATGCTCCAACGGTGATCTTTCCTAACCTGTGTATTCATTTTACTGACGTTGTATTCTATTTGTATTTATTTTCCTAAAGTTGTAATTCTATATGTTGTAAATTCATGTGTACTGTGAAATTGATAATTTTGTTCCTTATAGGTTCTTGGGTACACCGGAAATGATGATGGTAGGAAATTTGTTCATGAGGGAGAAGTAACCTTGGCTAACTTAAAGGTCTCTCTCTCTCTCTCTCTCTCTCTCTCTCTCTCTCTCTCTCCCACTTTATATGTTCTAACAGTATGTTATGGATTTATTATTCCTCAGGCTTTTGGGCAGGATTTTATAGAGGACAAGCTTAAACCTTTCTTTAAGTCAGACCCAATTCCAGAAACTGTAAGTTATGAGTCTCATTTCTGCACCAAATTCTGATGTCTTCTTTCATTATTATAACTTCTATGCATTTTTTTTGATTGCCACAGAATGATGGGGACGTGAAAATAGTGGTTGGGAATAACTTTGATGAAATTGTCTTGGATGAGTCAAAGGATGTTCTTCTCGAGGTAATACAACAAAATAATAACCAAATAATCATTGATTAAAATTTGTCCTGGTAAGGTTCCAAATTTTGAAGGATTGCTATCTCAGATTTATGCACCATGGTGCGGGCATTGCCAATCTTTGGAGCCAACCTACAACAAGCTTGCCAAACATCTACAAGGCATTGATTCTATTGTTATAGCCAAGATGGATGGAACCACAAATGAGCATCCCAGGGCAAAGGTAATTTAAAATTCAAAATGTGTTCCGTGTGTTAAATGACAGTGTACTTATTTCCAATTGTATATACTAGAGTTCCAAGGGCAAACTTTTCTTTGGCATAAATTGAGTATCTATTAGAAACCAGAACTTTGCAGTGAATTGCTGTTCTTTAACTTTGCAGGCTGATGGGTTCCCCACACTTCTATTCTTCCCAGCTGGAAATAAGAGCTTTGATCCAGTAAGTGGCATTTAGAATTGTTACATGTGTTCCTCTACCATGCTTGTGCATTTTCTTCTTGTTCCTCGTTTCATGTCTTACATAGAATATCTGGTTCCTTGGTGTCTTTAGATTTCCGTAGATGCTGATCGTACGGTGGTGGCATTCTACAAATTCCTCAAGAAAAACGCATCAATTCCTTTCAAGCTCCAAAAGCCAACTTCAACACCAAAATCCGAGGCGGTATCTGATGCTAAAGAGAGCCAAGAGAGCAGCAGCAGCACAAATGATTTGAGGGATGAATTATGAGGAATTTGAATTTGTGTATTAACGATTTGTCTGTCTAGTATGTGCCATCATCAATGTGGTAGAAAAGAGATAGTTGTCACATAGAAGAGAAAATAGAGAGATCAGAAATGAGAAGAGAATCTCAAATCTGCAGCAATTTAAACCCGAACAGATATCCGGAAAAAACAAAATAGGTGTATCCTCAGCTTTCTAGTTTTGAATGTGTTGTTTAAGAAACTCCAGCTGAATTATTTAATAATAGCACCTTCTTCCTTCTTCCCCTCTTTTTTGGTTGTTTCTCTTTAATAATTCTTATGAAGGCATTGGAGAATTTTGGCTGCCATGCCGGATGCTTTGGTTCCTTAACCAAACCATTGTTCTCATTTTGTTTTTGGGTCAAGAGCAAACCGTTGTTCTTGAACCATGGGGCATTGTAAAAGTCCTCACTTTTAACTCCTCATGTGGTGGTCGCGTAAACAGTTACTGTGTGAGAGGTTGTATACAGAAGTTTCTCAGACATTATCATAAGAGCATCCACAATCATGTTCTCTATTTTTCACTTAAAATTTAGCTAAAAATACTATAAAGCTATTTTAGGAGTTCTCTATAAAATTTCAACTCTATTACCTTCTTATGTGGATTTAAATGTGGATTTCAGACATTGGCAAGGTTTCTTCCTCACCCTACTTCGCTTCATTACCTTGTTGTGTGGATTTAGATGTGTATAGCTTCATCATTCTTCTTTCTTATGATACTCCGCCAAACATTTATCATGCACCCAAGGTTATTAATCCTTGACCGTATTAATAAGAAGGGTTCAATGAGTTTGTTTTGTTTTTAAAAAAAATTCTGGGATAGCATTAATAATTCAGCCAAAAAAGCCACTAGTCACAAAGAGCCAATACAAACTAGCTACAAAGGCCCATTACAATAACGGATGGATCTAATATCAAAATTAAGACACTCTGGGACTCCTCCACTAAAGATCACTCAAGATCGAAGAAGTTTTGGCATAAGCATCTCAACTAAAAGTGCAAACTATGATTAAATGAGTTTTTTAAGCGCAAAAAAGAATAAGAGAGAAAACAAAAACCTTGTCTTTCTTTCTTTTTTTCTTTGAACGGAATATGCCATAGCATGTTCAATTAAACAAAAGAAAAAATAATCACTTAAAACATATTGAACTAATGAAAAACAAAAAATAAATAAATAAAGGTTAACTAATGCACCATGGAACTTTAAAATGATAATGACCCGCACATGACGAAAAACACAACAAAAAAACTCACCCTTAGAAATTAAGATACAGAGAGTCCAGAAGAACAACAAAACTGTCCCCCTTAGCAATTAAAATTATAGTCACTCAGCGGTCACACTAATCACACGATTATTACGGGGATTATTGAAAGATGCCGACTCGCTTAAAAAATTTAGGAGGCCACATCATGTCGCCAACTACGGCTCTCCATGCATTGCCTAATTAAGATTAATTACCTCTGTAAATATGGAAAAGCTAGTAAACGGTAAACTATAAACTTACCTTATTTTATAAATCTACGAAAGCCAAATGGAATTTTGAGAAGCCGCCAAATGGCATAAAAATGGAGAAATGATAGAATTCTATAGGTATGACAACGTGGTACATTTTGTACTCATGTTATAATATGAGTAGACGACAAAGTTTTATTTTTCCCTTTTAGGAAATAGTATCAAGATCTAATTGGAATTTTAATAATTAATATAATTAGTCGTATCTTATACGTAGGCAGCTATCTACGTATGCATGTGAAACCATGTGCAACCCTAATTTGTCTTGTCTTTGCTTTACACCAAGGACGTTTCTATTAATTGAATTTGAAGGGATGCTTTCTTTGTTATTTTGTTTTTGGTTTTGGTTCCAATTAAAGGGATGCTTTATTTACTTGTCGCATATAGACAGTTGGAGACATGACAACCATTCCAAATGAAAAATATGTATTGTCCACGCAAGCAAGGGGGTTTAATTCCAAAAATGACAATTAGATCTAGAAAGACTCGAATTTGTTAAAGCATTCACAACAAATTTAGTCTCTCGTGTCAAGTGTTAAGAAAAGTAATAAAGATACACCTTAGATTAAAGTGGTGAACAAAAATATTTCCCTTTGGAAATATATCAAAATCACGTAACATCGTAATATGGTTGTACAACAATGTCCATATAACTTCTTAGTTTATTTTCTATTTCTGTCAGTTTCTTACATTCATTGAAATAAGTCTACGTAACAATGTCATCCTTCTATCACGGAGTAAATATGGGAATTAATAAATCTCAAATAACTCCATAAGGTATAGCACAGCTGGTTTTTAAATTTGTGTTACGAGAAAACCCAAACGCAAGCCCAATTGTGAAATCCACAGAAAACCTGTACACCGACGTAATCTAGAGACATGACCAATAGAAAAAGGAAATCTATTTCACTGAATCCATACACCATTGATACTATTTATTTAGACTTTCATTCTTTATAACTTATTAAAATACCTCTTTTGACCTTTAAAAAAAATGCAAGGGTAGTATTGGAAAGCTTGACAAATGTTAATTCTTAATACCGAACAAATCAAATATGGGAATGAAAGGCAGAAGTGGGTTAGGCTAGTTAGTTAGGGTAATGAGCCTACCTCCTTGCACTAAAGTTCAAGTCTCTCTGCTCGTATATTAAATTAATTTAGAGTAGTGCTTGTATTTCATTGTCCCCATTTCCCCGCGTTCTTAAATACTGAAATTAAAATTTATGCGCAAAGCATCACTTTCTTTTTTGGTTGAGAAATTATTTGCTTCATTACGAAACCACACCAACAAATGAGAGGTGAAGGCATTAAGCTCAGATGCTCATGTCCTTCTAATTGAAGCCACACCCCATGAGAGACGCAACACACACTTTCCTTCCTCTATCTAAAAATTAAATATACCAACAAACCAAAACGAAAAGCAAAATTACATAAATCCCAAAAACTCACATTCCAATTGCCTCTCTAACCTCGTCTCCCCTTTCAACTCCAACTTCATCTCCTCCGCATTTCTCTAGATCCGCTGCTTCGCCCCTCTCCGTACCTTTTTACTCCACCTACGTGTCCAGATCCCACTCCACCTCCTCCCTTCTCGGTCAATCTCGCCCGTCCACTTTTTCTCTTCTCCCGAGGTGTCCTCGTTTCAAATTCAGATCTCTTCCACTTCCTTTCAAAACTGCTTCTCAAAAATCTCAACTTCCCTCTTCCACTCACTTTCTCCCTCAGATCCACATTTTCTCGGGAACAAGCATCTCGAACTTTCTTCTTCTTCTTCAACAATGGCAAGGTTCATCGAGCTCTGCTCGCCTCTGCTTCTTGCCTTTCTCCTAGTCCAATTCTCTATTGTATCTTCTTCGTCTCCACCACAGCCCTCGCCAACTCCATCGCCTCAACCCGCTGCTGCTTCACCTTCGCCGATTTCCCTTCCTCCATCTCCGTCGAACGCTCCAGTGAACTCACCACATCCTTCTTCCCCTCCAGCGCCACCGCAATCATCTCCGTCCGATTCTCCGTCCGCCGACGACACGCCTACAGTTCCTTCTCCAGCGCCGTCGAATCCGAGCGACGTCAACCACAGCGACGTCAACGCGGACGGAGACGGAGCTAAGAACTCCTCTGGAGGAATGAGCCCGGGAAAGAAGGCAGGGGTCGTACTTGGAGTGATCGTTGGGGTTGGCGTGGTAGGGCTTGCAGGCTTTGTCTACAAGAAACGTCAGGATAACGTTCGTCGATCTCAGTACGGATACGCCGCCAGGAGAGAGATTCTCTGAAGAACTACTCATAGTCTATCATACGCTAAAGCTCTTAGAGGTTACTGTGAAATGTTTGATTTCTCGTATTTTTTTAGTTAATTTCTGTGCTTGCTTAGTATATGATTGAATGTAGGTTCTGGCGATGGTGATATGGTGATTCAATTTGATTCTTCATTCTTTGGCGCGCCGGCGGTGCTAGAGTTGGTGGTAGTTAGAATTTTGGGATGAGTTATGGGCGTAAAATACTTAATTAGTCAATATGATCATTGATGTATTCCTTTTCTATTTTAGAATGATATAATAATTGGATTTACTGATTTAGCATTCATTATGCTCGTTTTTCTCACTGTTGACTTGATTAGCTCTATCTAATGTTTGGGTACTGAGAAAATCGAACAAAAGAAAAGAAATTTGATAATTACTGTTCATGGATTTAGATTCCCTGAGATTTAGGTTCTTTGTGACTTTAATGCGTAAAGCAGTGTTTAGTGTTGACTTGGATTTGATAATTTGAGAAAACTGCTGTACATGGTGGCTCACCTTCATTGCATTTTAAATATGTGATGTGATTTGGGGACAAATAGAACTAATACTTGTGCCCTCTTTAAGTAACTTAGCTGGATCAAGGCGTCGGTTGCATGCTCCATCTCAATTGCACGCTTCACCACGGTCTGAAACGCAATTCAACCTCATATCAAATAGGGTATGGCAAACAAAATTATGTAACAACTAAATAAAGTCTAGCTAAAAGCCGAAGAACTACTTAAATGATGAAGGTGCCCAATAACAACCGGTGCTAACCTGTACTCAGAGGCATAACTTATTGTATGCAAACTATTGAAAATACTTCTTTCAACTAAACCCATATTAAATTTCAAGCTGGACAGAGGAAATACCTTCCCAACATAGAGGTCAATCTTTCCAGGAGCACCACCAACATACCCAAAGTCTGCATCAGCCATCTCCCCAGGTCCATTAACAATGCAACCCATGATTGCAATCTAGCAAAGGAAATAGCAAATGAATTACAAAAGCATCTGGATTACTGAAAATAAAATAAGTTGGCTGTTCAAAATCGTTCCATCACAAAAGGAAAGAATAAGGTAATTACTGAAACGCCAGGCAAGTGCGATGTCTTCTCTCGTATTTGTGCACTTATTTCTTGAAGATCAAACAAAGTTCTGCCACATGATGGGCATGAAACGTACTCCTGAAATGAGATTTAGGCATGTACAACGATTGTTTAAGATCGTCATCGCTTCATGATATGTCAAATTCTGTTATATTTTGAATGAAAACTCCTACCGTCTTTGTATTCCGCATTCTACAACCTTGTAGTAAATTGAAAGATGTGTTTCTAAGGAAATCAAAATCTTTGTCTGCGGCTTCTAATAGGAGACCATCTCCAAGTCCATCTACTAAAAGGGCCCCCGCATTGGTACCAGCAGCAATAACCAAGTCATCCCTGCACGAAATGGAATTAAGCCAGAAGTACTAAAACCACGCATCTCTTGAAAAAGGAAGAGTCGATCTTGTTATTACCTATGAATTCCACTTGGAAACTGAATATGGTGTATGACCGGAAAGTTCAGAGAATTGTCTCCCAGATACTCAAACAGCCTAGAGCAACATAAAATTCACAATATTAAGAGAAGGAAACATGTGCACAACAAGAATAAAAGCAAATAACATGGACTACCAATGATAAAATTAACAGCCCCATACAAAGCGGACAAATTTCATATTTGGTGAAGTGTCTAGGGCCTAGGAAAATGCTTCTCTAGATGGGAACTCTTACAATAATTTTATGTTGATAATGATTTATATGCAGGGAGTTAAAAAGTTATTACCTTCTTGCAGCATGCACGCGGCTTACTTTATCTTCACTGAAGGGAAGATCATGGAGAAGCATTGTAGCATCAATGCCTTTGAGAATATCCAGCACTTCATAAGGTTCATCGCCACGTACCGAGACAACCATGCGTGTACCTGGGAGGCAATTGATTCACAATAAGGATTCCTGGCTGAAAAATCAGGGGTAGCCTTCGACCAATACAAAACCCTTCCCACCCTTGAATGGAACCAGAAACTCCCCTTCTTAAGGGGAAGAGATGCTAATTAACATCAAAGGCCACTGCTAAAATATGTCTACCTATAAAAGAATAAGCATAGAAAAAGAATATGTTCAATTAAACATCAGTGCTCTGAAATCTGTAAGAAAGCTGCACCTTCTGGCAAAAGCTTGTATGCACCAGTTGATAATTCCTTCGAATTTACCAGAACCATGGCATTGGGCAATGGCTTTGTTAGCTGCTCTGACAATGGTGTTATAACACCCATACTAACATCTATCAACCTTTTGAGCGCTAGCCGCTGATCATACACAAAGAAGATTGTCATGTCATTCCCGTTATCGCAAAGAACTAGCAAATAAAATATGCAGTGTAATGCTCGAACAACGTAGGAAGGTATAAGGGATAATGTGGGTGCGGGGGAAGAGTAGGGATTATTTCCAAAATATTCTTACAGAATCATTATCATCAACTGGTGGAAGTTGTCTCAATAAGATTGAGTCAACTGTTGCAAGATCCTGTATAACAGAACTAACCATGTCAATGAAAATCCCAGTAAATTTTACATGTGACACATTAAAAAATATAAAATGGAATAATAATAGACCTTAAACGGCATGCCCACAACAAGTTTTGCTGCTAGTGACTTGTAGAGGAGCTCTGGAGTCTGTAAAGGATGCAGAAGGTTAGTGTAATTTCTACCATTTCAGATACAACTCAGCCCCCCACTCAAAAAGGAAAAAACACAAAAAAGAAAGCCAATAAAATGGAACAAAGGAAGTATGATGTCAACTGTACCTTCAACTGATTAAGGGATACTGACATGAGAACAGAGCCATCACGGTGCAGGACACCTCTATAATCCACCTCCTCACCCTGTGTTTTGATGACATTAAATCACTGTTAAAGGAAAAAAAAAAAAGAGTCTGAAGCACAGTGTGTTTCCATATCAAGATCTTAGAGGTTGACCTCCTTTTGCATTGGCAGTTGACCAGATCGACGTTGAAAGTCAAAATAATGTCGGTGCTTCTCTTCAAATGGAGCCTGATACAAATAATGCCATCAACAAATCTGACAAGGCTTTCAATTTTTAAAATAGAAGAGAATACGAATATTAATCAACTAACAGGGATATTGTAAAATCCTACCACTCCTTGCTGAAGATCAGCTGCTCTCTTACCAAGGTTGGCCAATCTTCTGCAGGGATCTATCTCCTCCTCTGGTGCTTCAGTAAGTGAAACCCTAATTGTATCACCCAAACCATCCTGCATATACAAATCCAGAGTTTCATTATGGCTAGACATGGCTTTATAAATGTAATGCTTCTTAATGTTAACTTCAAACTATTGAACGAAGCCCAGAATCACAACACACAAATAGATGAACTAACCTACCATATCTATCATAAGAACAGTTTGCAATTTATAAAAATGCAAACAAGTATGGTTAAATTCAGCTACAACCTTACGAAGGTTTAACAAATAACACATTACCAGCACATAAACCAGAATAATCCCTACAATTTTGATGATTTTGAATCCATCACAACACCTACCCATAAAGATTAGAATAATACCTGAAGAAGGGTTCCAATACCAATTGCAGATTTCATTCGCCCATCCTCACCTTCTCCAGCTTCAGTAACTCCCAAGTGCAATGGATAATCCCATCCTTGAACATACATTTCAGCCACAAGCAAACGATATGCCTGGACCATGATAACTGGGTTGCTTGCTTTCATTGAAAAAAGAAAATTATGGTAGTCCAACTTCTGGCAAATCCTTGCAAACTCGAATGCAGATTCAACCTGTTTGAGGAATGCAAAGTAAATGACACCCAATGAATTTGTATGTGCATCAACATCAAGCAAGCTTGAAAGTTTTCAGCAAAAAAGACAGACGATATTTTGCTCACCATTCCTCTAGGGGAATCCCCATAATAGCTCATTATACGATCCGAAAGGCTGCCATGGTTTGTGCCAATACGCATTGCTCTTCCATACTTCTTACACTTTTCAACCAATGGAGTAAAAACCTAGTGTTGTTACAGTAAGCAAAAATCAGATACAAATAAATGTTCATTTGGTTAATATTTTATAATGATTATAATAAACATCAAACAGTAATGGAGACTTGTAATTGTGAAAATTAACAGATGCCATATATTTATAGATTCATGGTTTAACCTGTTCAATGTGCTCAAGTTCTTTCTGATAGTCGTCTTCGGTGTACTCTAACTTCTCAAACTGAGCCCGTCTATCCGCTGCAATAAAACACCTCAATCAATCTACAATCACTCCCTTCAAATATAATTAAAAAAGAGAACAATTGAATGGTGAACTGTGTACCAAAATTTCCAGGGTTGACACGAATTTTGTCAAAGCATTCAGCAACTCGCAATGCAACAGAAGGTGCAAAATGAATATCTGCCACCAGAGGTATATTGTAACTGCACATACAGATTGTATCAAGTCAAGCCTACAACATAGGGAGTAAACCATTAAATACCCACTGAAAATATAATAATCAAGCCTACTTTTTCTGCACGAGGGTATTTTTAATATCAAAACAAGCATCTGCTTCTTTCTTCCCTTGAACTGTTATCCGAACAAGATCTGCTCCCTTGTCTGCTATTCTCATTACCTGTGAACAAAAAAGTCGTTACAAATGAAGCTGCTCGTAGCTTTTCTAAAATTTCAACTGATTTAGTTGTATAGCTCAAAATACAAAAGAATTGCCTGTTAAAAAACATTGTGAAGTCATTTTTCCAAAAAAGGCCAATTTAATAATCTCAAAGAAGTCACACTAACACATCAGAAGCTCCTTTGAGAATGGTTTCCATCTATGTTCACCACTCATCTTCAGCGGTGAAACCAAATTTTTGTACATGAGGACCTTTTTGCATGTACCAGATAAACCTATGACTCAGTCCGGAAGAAAAATACACAAAGTTTTGACAATGCCTTCACTACATTACGGTTTGAATAATGGCAGAGTAATTCCCAGTACCAACAAAGGAGATGTATGACACGCCACACATTCTGATTCAGACCTCGAGATATAATAGATCTACAGAGTTGAATCAAGCCTTAGTAACTCCACTTATATATGCATGTGTATATATAATTGAAGTAAATGGAGAGTAAAAGAACCTGTTCAACTGTAGCAGCAACATCCTTTGTGTCAGTTGTCGTCATTGTTTGAATCCTTATGGGATGCTCACTACCAATAGCCACATTTCCAACCATCACTGTTCGTGTTTTCCTCCTGACAGTTTTGTGTATTGATTCACAATACTTTTGTCTAGGAACTGCATTCAAAAAAATAATTTATTAGATAAATTGATAGAAACTCATAAGGTAGAAAAACATACATATTTAGGCTGATATTTACTCCTTTATCTTCTCAGACAAATGAAGGAACCTTTAATCCCACTTAACTGAGGTGAACAGATATACAAGTAGTAACCAAGCTGAGGCTTAGTTTGACTGATCCTAATACAATTACTTCGCTCAGTTGAGGCCACTTCCATTTCTGAGAAATGACAGTTACACCGGGGTTTTCTTTAGAGATATATCCAATGAAAACATTGGATAATCACCAAGTTAACTTTTCCCAACCACGTAAATGAATAATTGACCAGCAGGAAAAATATTGTTCAGCTTTTCTGAGAAGCCAGAAAACATGGTATTCTCCTTTCCCTCTTATCCAATTTCTCAGCTACAAAAAATAGTTTGAAGGACTAAAACACAACACATGCATTAAAACAAAAAACTGAACAACACTAATTCGTTAGGGATTTTAACCACCTAACAAAGGGCTGCCTTCAGATGCAGGCTTGAGTTCTGCAATATCTGATCCGGGATTTGAGTTCCGTATCACTGAGATTCTTGTTCTTCCAGACTTAAACCTCTTCAAATCACAAACCCTCACAAAATCCATACTTTTAGCAAACCCGATACTCGAGTCCCTGCCTTTTAGACCCATGAAGGAAGCTGGTACAGTTCCAGTAGCCATTTCCACAGCTGCAAAGCTTTACCTTCACAATTCCAAAGCACAATTTGGTAGAAATTCAGTTAACTCATCATTTTATATATCAAAATGTAGAATTAACATGGCCCTCTTGGTTTCTGAGAAAATTGAACAAATAAAAATGAAACTGACTAATAAGATAAGTACTTTGATAAACAAACATATAAAAGGGAAAAGAAAAGAACTAAAGGATTTTCCCATTCACTCTTTGACTTCAGGTGAGCAGTTAAAAAAACTTTAAATTTTTTTTATAAAAAGAATTATCTTTCTTACAGTTTTCGCAGCTTTCCCAGAAACCAAACAGTAAATTATTCCATCACTTAATCACATCACCCCAACTGAATTTTCTACTCTTTTGGGAAAATTGTGCATAAAATTCATTACCTCAAAACAATCAATAAAACCCAAAACGCAGAAAGTCCAGAAGAACAACAAAACTGTCCCCCTTAGCAATTAAAATTATAGTCACTCAGCGGTCACACTAATCACACGATTATTACGGGGATTATTGAAAGATGCCGACTCGCTTAAAAAATTTAGGAGGCCACATCATGTCGCCAACTACGGCTCTCCATGCATTGCCTAATTAAGATTAATTACCTCTGTAAATATGGAAAAGCTAGTAAACGGTAAACTATAAACTTACCTTATTTTATAAATCTACGAAAGCCAAATGGAATTTTGAGAAGCCGCCAAATGGCATAAAAATGGAGAAATGATAGAATTCTATAGTAGTATGACAACGTGGTACATTTTGTACTCATGTTATAATATGAGTAGACGACAAAGTTTTATTTTTCCCTTTTAGGAAATAGTATCAAGATCTAATTGGAATTTTAATAATTAATATAATTAGTCGTATCTTATACGTAGGCAGCTATCTACGTATGCATGTGAAACCATGTGCAACCCTAATTTGTCTTGTCTTTGCTTTACACCAAGGACGTTTCTATTAATTGAATTTGAAGGGATGCTTTCTTTGTTATTTTGTTTTTGGTTTTGGTTCCAATTAAAGGGATGCTTTATTTATTTGTCGCATATAGACAGTTGGAGACATGACAACCATGCCAAATGAAAAATATGTATTGTCCGCGCAAGCTAATTCCAAAAATGACAATTAGATCTAGAATGACTCGAATTTGTTAAAGCATTCACAACAAATTTAGTTTCTCGTGTCAAGTGTTAAGAAGAGTAATAAAGATACACCTTAGATTAAAGTAGTGAACAAAAATATTTCCCTTTGGAAATATATCAAAATCACGTAACATCGTAATATGGTTGTACAACAATGTCCATATAACTTCTTAGTTTATTTTCTATTTCTGTCAGTTTCTTACATTCATTGAAATAAGTCTACGTAACAATGTCATCCTTCTATCACGGAGTAAATATGGGAATTAATAAATCTCAAATAACTCCATAAGGTATAGCACAGCTGGTTTTTAAATTTGTGTTACGAGAAAACCCAAACGCAAGCCCAATTGTGAAATCCACAGAAAACCTGTACACCGACGTAATCTAGAGACATGACCAATAGAAAAAGGAAATCTATTTCACTGAATCCATACACCATTGATACTATTTATTTAGACTTTCATTCTTTATAACTTATTAAAATACCTCTTTTGACCTTTAAAAAAAATGCAAGGGTAGTATTGGAAAGCTTGACAAATGTTAATTCTTAATACCGAACAAATCAAATATGGGAATGAAAGGCAGAAGTGGGTTAGGCTAGTTAGTTAGGGTAATGAGCCTACCTCCTTGCACTAAAGTTCAAGTCTCTCTGCTCGTATATTAAATTAATTTAGAGTAGTGCTTGTATTTCATTGTCCCCATTTCCCCGCGTTCTTAAATACTGAAATTAAAATTTATGCGCAAAGCATCACTTTCTTTTTTGGTTGAGAAATTATTTGCTTCATTACGAAACCGCACCAACAAATGAGAGGTGAAGGCATTAAGCTCAGATGCTCATGTCCTTCTAATTGAAGCCACACCCCATGAGAGACGCAACACACACTTTCCTTCCTCTATCTAAAAATTAAATATACCAACAAACCAAAACGAAAAGCAAAATTACATAAATCCCAAAAACTCACATTCCAATTGCCTCTCTAACCTCGTCTCCCCTTTCAACTCCAACTTCATCTCCTCCGCATTTCTCTAGATCCGCTGCTTCGCCCCTCTCCGTACCTTTTTACTCCACCTACGTGTCCAGATCCCACTCCACCTCCTCCCTTCTCGGTCAATCTCGCCCGTCCACTTTTTCTCTTCTCCCGAGGTGTCCTCGTTTCAAATTCAGATCTCTTCCACTTCCTTTCAAAACTGCTTCTCAAAAATCTCAACTTCCCTCTTCCACTCACTTTCTCCCTCAGATCCACATTTTCTCGGGAACAAGCATCTCGAACTTTCTTCTTCTTCTTCAACAATGGCAAGGTTCATCGAGCTCTGCTCGCCTCTGCTTCTTGCCTTTCTCCTAGTCCAATTCTCTATTGTATCTTCTTCGTCTCCACCACAGCCCTCGCCAACTCCATCGCCTCAACCCGCTGCTGCTTCACCTTCGCCGATTTCCCTTCCTCCATCTCCGTCGAACGCTCCAGTGAACTCACCACATCCTTCTTCCCCTCCAGCGCCACCGCAATCATCTCCGTCCGATTCTCCGTCCGCCGACGACACGCCTACAGTTCCTTCTCCAGCGCCGTCGAATCCGAGCGACGTCAACCACAGCGACGTCAACGCGGACGGAGACGGAGCTAAGAACTCCTCTGGAGGAATGAGCCCGGGAAAGAAGGCAGGGTCGTACTTGGAGTGATCGTTGGGGTTGGCGTGGTAGGGCTTGCAGGCTTTGTCTACAAGAAACGTCAGGATAACGTTCGTCGATCTCAGTACGGATACGCCGCCAGGAGAGAGATTCTCTGAAGAACTACTCATAGTCTATCATACGCTAAAGCTCTTAGAGGTTACTGTGAAATGTTTGATTTCTCGTATTTTTTTAGTTAATTTCTGTGCTTGCTTAGTATATGATTGAATGTAGGTTCTGGCGATGGTGATATGGTGATTCAATTTGATTCTTCATTCTTTGGCGCGCCGGCGGTGCTAGAGTTGGTGGTAGTTAGAATTTTGGGATGAGTTATGGGCGTAAAATACTTAATTAGTCAATATGATCATTGATGTATTCCTTTTCTATTTTAGAATGATATAATAATTGGATTTACTGATTTAGCATTCATTATGCTCGTTTTTCTCACTGTTGACTTGATTAGCTCTATCTAATGTTTGGGTACTGAGAAAATCGAACAAAAGAAAAGAAATTTGATCATTACTGTTCATGGATTTAGATTCCCTGAGATTTAGGTTCTAATGCGTAAAGCAGTGTTTAGTGTTGACTTGGATTTGATAATTTGAGAAAACTGCTGTACATGGTGGCTCACCTTCATTGCATTTTAAATATGTAATGTGATTTGGGGACAAATAGAACTAATGCTTGTGCCCTCTTTAAGTAATACAAAATGAAAATTTTGAACATGATTTGAGTGAAAGAGAAGATAGGGGAAACAAGAGAGGGTGGGGAAGAGGCATTTCTTTTACTGTTTTGGTCAAGTAATTTGTTTGTTGGTTTTGCTTTATTTTCATCTTTACTGTTTTACTTCTGTTTCTGCGTCATCTTTGTGTTGACTTCCCTTTTGGGGTATTTTAGGAATAGAAAATTTGCAACTCACCGATTACTAAGGAAGCATGTCGGTGATCATCATATTTTGACTTTCCTTCGTTTGAATGCTTTGGGGTATTTTCTTCTTTTCTTTTGGTCTCCATCCAATGATAAGGTTTTCAAATTTCATCATATATAATAATATCATGATGAGGCATTGGGGAGGGATGAATGATGATATGATACGGCCTTTTGGGGAGTGTTAGTGAGCAGTGGCCATTGATAGCAACTTTGCAATTTTAAAATGGCAAATACAATTCCACCAAAAGAATAACTTGAAAAATCCCTCCCTAATTTTTAATTTCGTAATTTTATTTGGGAAAAGAAAGGCATAACAATTGACTCTCGTACTAGATACGTGAATATTTTGTTGCTGCAAATTCCAGCTGATTCAGGGGCATATTATTTGGATAAGTTATGTTCTGAAACTGAAACATTGACTTAGAGCACTTCCACCCACAAGGGCTAAGTCTAAGCCAAGGACAAGCAAGGGTTGCCACTATTCACGAGAATAATGTTAGCCTTTGCATTTGTGGTTCCACCCATGAGAGCTAAGTCTAGGGCAAGTCTAAGGCAAATACTATTCATATGAGATATGAGGAGATGAATTTGTATATAGTTTTTGGTGTGGGAAGTATAGAATATGTCTAGGTATTTATTTAAAAAAATTCTGGAATTTTTGGTATTTTTTTTCCTTTTTTTTCATTTTTTTTGGGTTGCTGACGTCATTATGACGTCAGCATTGCATCAGTTTGCCCTAGCAGCAGCTTGGGCTGAATTTGCCCGTGGACTTGCCTGGGCTCCTGGGACCTAGCTCTTGCCAGGGCTGGCCCTTGCGCGCTGGAGCTGCTTCCTTCCCCCCTGGGCTGCTTTTTGCCCGGTTTTGAAGCAAGGGTGGATTTGCTCTTAGGTCTTTCTTTTGCCCCTCGATTCTTTTGCCCCTCGATTCGACATCAACTGGTGGAAGTTGTCTCAATAAGATTGAGTCAACTGTTGCAAGATCCTGTATAACAGAACTAACCATGTCAATGAAAATCCCAGTAAATTTTACATGTGACACATTAAAAAATCTAAAATGGAATAATAATAGACCTTAAACGGCATGCCCACAACAAGTTTTGCTGCTAGTGACTTGTAGAGGAGCTCTGGAGTCTGTAAAGGATGCAGAAGGTTAGTGTAATTTCTACCATTTCAGATACAACTCAGCCCCCCACTCAAAAAGGAAAAAACACAAAAAAGAAAGCCAATAAAATGGAACAAAGGAAGTATGATGTCAACTGTACCTTCAACTGATTAAGGGATACTGACATGAGAACAGAGCCATCACGGTGCAGGACACCTCTATAATCCACCTCCTCACCCTGTGTTTTGATGACATTAAATCACTGTTAAAGGAAAAAAAAAAAAGAGTCTGAAGCACAGTGTGTTTCCATATCAAGATCTTAGAGGTTGACCTCCTTTTGCATTGGCAGTTGACCAGATCGACGTTGAAAGTCAAAATAATGTCGGTGCTTCTCTTCAAATGGAGCCTGATACAAATAATGCCATCAACAAATCTGACAAGGCTTTCAATTTTTAAAATAGAAGAGAATACGAATATTAATCAACTAACAGGGATATTGTAAAATCCTACCACTCCTTGCTGAAGATCAGCTGCTCTCTTACCAAGGTTGGCCAATCTTCTGCAGGGATCTATCTCCTCCTCTGGTGCTTCAGTAAGTGAAACCCTAATTGTATCACCCAAACCATCCTGCATATACAAATCCAGAGTTTCATTATGGCTAGACATGGCTTTATAAATGTAATGCTTCTTAATGTTAACTTCAAACTATTGAACGAAGCCCAGAATCACAACACACAAATAGATGAACTAACCTACCATATCTATCATAAGAACAGTTTGCAATTTATAAAAATGCAAACAAGTATGGTTAAATTCAGCTACAACCTTACGAAGGTTTAACAAATAACACATTACCAGCACATAAACCAGAATAATCCCTACAATTTTGATGATTTTGAATCCATCACAACACCTACCCATAAAGATTAGAATAATACCTGAAGAAGGGTTCCAATACCAATTGCAGATTTCATTCGCCCATCCTCACCTTCTCCAGCTTCAGTAACTCCCAAGTGCAATGGATAATCCCATCCTTGAACATACATTTCAGCCACAAGCAAACGATATGCCTGGACCATGATAACTGGGTTGCTTGCTTTCATTGAAAAAAGAAAATTATGGTAGTCCAACTTCTGGCAAATCCTTGCAAACTCGAATGCAGATTCAACCTGTTTGAGGAATGCAAAGTAAATGACACCCAATGAATTTGTATGTGCATCAACATCAAGCAAGCTTGAAAGTTTTCAGCAAAAAAGACAGACGATATTTTGCTCACCATTCCTCTAGGGGAATCCCCATAATAGCTCATTATACGATCCGAAAGGCTGCCATGGTTTGTGCCAATACGCATTGCTCTTCCATACTTCTTACACTTTTCAACCAATGGAGTAAAAACCTAGTGTTGTTACAGTAAGCAAAAATCAGATACAAATAAATGTTCATTTGGTTAATATTTTATAATGATTATAATAAACATCAAACAGTAATGGAGACTTGTAATTGTGAAAATTAACAGATGCAAAAATCAGATACAAATAAATGTTCATTTGGTTAATATTTGATAATGATTATAATAAACATCAAACAGTAATGGAGACTTGTAATTGTGAAAATTAACAGAGGCCATATATTTATAGATTCATGGTTTAACCTGTTCAATGTGCTCAAGTTCTTTCTGATAGTCGTCTTCGGTGTACTCTAACTTCTCAAACTGAGCCCGTCTATCCGCTGCAATAAAACACCTCAATCAATCTACAATCACTCCCTTCAAATATAATTAAAAAAGAGAACAATTGAATGGTGAACTGTGTACCAAAATTTCCAGGGTTGACACGAATTTTGTCAAAGCATTCAGCAACTCGCAATGCAACAGAAGGTGCAAAATGAATATCTGCCACCAGAGGTATATTGTAACTGCACATACAGATTGTATCAAGTCAAGCCTACAACATAGGGAGTAAACCATTAAATACCCACTGAAAATATAATAATCAAGCCTACTTTTTCTGCACGAGGGTATTTTTAATATCAAAACAAGCATCTGCTTCTTTCTTCCCTTGAACTGTTATCCGAACAAGATCTGCTCCCTTGTCTGCTATTCTCATTACCTGTGAACAAAAAAGTCGTTACAAATGAAGCTGCTCGTAGCTTTTCTAAAATTTCAACTGATTTAGTTGTATAGCTCAAAATACAAAAGAATTGCCTGTTAAAAAACATTGTGAAGTCATTTTTCCAAAAAAGGCCAATTTAATAATCTCAAAGAAGTCACACTAACACATCAGAAGCTCCTTTGAGAATGGTTTCCATCTATGTTCACCACTCATCTTCAGCGGTGAAACCAAATTTTTGTACATGAGGACCTTTTTGCATGTACCAGATAAACCTATGACTCAGTCCGGAAGAAAAATACACAAAGTTTTGACAATGCCTTCACTACATTACGGTTTGAATAATGGCAGAGTAATTCCCAGTACCAACAAAGGAGATGTATGACACGCCACACATTCTGATTCAGACCTCGAGATATAATAGATATACAGAGTTGAATCAAACCTTAGTAGCTCCACTTATATATGCATGTGTATATATAATTGAAGTAAATGGAGAGTAAAAGAACCTGTTCAACTGTAGCAGCAACATCCTTTGTGTCAGTTGTCGTCATTGTTTGAATCCTTATGGGATGCTCACTACCAATAGCCACATTTCCAACCATCACTGTTCGTGTTTTCCTCCTGACAGTTTTGTGTATTGATTCACAATACTTTTGTCTAGGAACTGCATTCAAAAAAATAATTTATTAGATAAATTGATAGAAACTCATAAGGTAGAAAAACATACATATTTAGGCTGATATTTACTCCTTTATCTTCTCAGACAAATGAAGGAACCTTTAATCCCACTTAACTGAGGTGAACAGATATACAAGTAGTAACCAAGCTGAGGCTTAGTTTGACTGATCCTAATACAATTACTTCGCTCAGTTGAGGCCACTTCCATTTCTGAGAAATGACAGTTACACCGGGGTTTTCTTTAGAGATATATCCAATGAAAACATTGGATAATCACCAAGTTAACTTTTCCCAACCACGTAAATGAATAATTGACCAGCAGGAAAAATATTGTTCAGCTTTTCTGAGAAGCCAGAAAACATGGTATTCTCCTTTCCCTCTTATCCAATTTCTCAGCTACAAAAAATAGTTTGAAGGACTAAAACACAACACATGCATTAAAACAAAAAACTGAACAACACTAATTCGTTAGGGATTTTAACCACCTAACAAAGGGCTGCCTTCAGATGCAGGCTTGAGTTCTGCAATATCTGATCCGGGATTTGAGTTCCGTATCACTGAGATTCTTGTTCTTCCAGACTTAAACCTCTTCAAATCACAAACCCTCACAAAATCCATACTTTTAGCAAACCCGATACTCGAGTCCCTGCCTTTTAGACCCATGAAGGAAGCTGGTACAGTTCCAGTAGCCATTTCCACAGCTGCAAAGCTTTACCTTCACAATTCCAAAGCACAATTTGGTAGAAATTCAGTTAACTCATCATTTTATATATCAAAATGTAGAATTAACATGGCCCTCTTGGTTTCTGAGAAAATTGAACAAATAAAAATGAAACTGACTAATAAGATAAGTACTTTGATAAACAAACATATAAAAGGGAAAAGAAAAGAACTAAAGGATTTTCCCATTCACTCTTTGACTTCAGGTGAGCAGTTAAAAAAACTTTAAATTTTTTTTATAAAAAGAATTATCTTTCTTACAGTTTTCGCAGCTTTCCCAGAAACCAAACAGTAAATTATTCCATCACTTAATCACATCACCCCAACTGAATTTTCTACTCTTTTGGGAAAATTGTGCATAAAATTCATTACCTCAAAACAATCAATAAAACCCAAAACGCAGAAAGCAGAAGCAAGTCAAATGCTCTTCAAAGAAAACCCAGAAAGCGTTTCACAAAATCAATAATCAATCAGAGTGAGCTTAAAAAGAGGCTCAATTGGTAGACACGTGGCGTGCTGGTGCATGTGCTTGTGCTTGTGTTCATAGTTTTTTTGTTTACCTTCAGTGATGTGATGACGATCAGTCAGCTGCTGAGAGTGAAAGGAGAAGGCTCTGGAGCCCGGAAAGGGCAGAAAAAAAACTTAAAAACTGGTGGTGGGTTGGGTGGGAGGAGTGAGTTGTCAATGGGTTTTTGGAAATTTGTTTGCATTGGCTGAATTTGTACTATTTTGTGGATGCTTGAGGTGGAGCAAATGGACAAAACCATTTCTTTTGGTATCTATTTTTTTGGTAAATGTTTTCTCTTGGTATCTAACCATACGAGACATGCAGTCTTTAAGAAGTGCGTGTATCTCGTTCCTGTGTGTATCTCGTTCTTGTAATTTTCGGCTTTCTCTTTCAAAAAACCCTGAGGATAAACGTCAGCCATTCGTTTATTGCATACGACATTTTCCAAGTTTTCAAGTTTTCATGTATTTGTCTTTTCAATATTCAATATTGAGAGTAGTTTTATTTGATTTTCCCCTCTCACGTTGGTGAAAAAAAAAATTCATTGTTTGTACGACTAGCACAAACAAATCATGTTGATGTGGTGTGATTTTGCCTAAAAATGTATTTTGCTAGGCAAACAAATCAAAGAATCTACCGTTCTTTTTCTAAATTTTTTGATATATATAGAAATGTGTGATATAATAGGCATAGGCTTGCGAGGTAGACAAAATCAAATTACCAAATAGAATTTTATTTGAACATTTGCCCTAGAATGTACGCTCTGTTTGGATGGAGAGGTTTGAAAGAAATTATTTGAATTTGACAATAATGTTAAATTTGGTATTTAAACAAAAAAGAGTCACATCAGATTAAATGTATTTGAAATAACTAGATGTAGTTAGGGACGGATTCATGAATTTAAAATGGAATCGGCTAGATTTACCTTACAAAGAAACTCAACCTCACAAGCGAATTTTATTGATAACAAAAAATGACACACCTAGTTAAAGAGGACATAATGAGCCATAATATACTCCTAAAAATGCAATAAATAAATATGCAATGTAAATACAAAATAAAACTATTTAAGTTGCACCATTCGAGTCTTTAAAGAATTAAAATCATTAATGATTCATTCAGTATATATATTATTAGTTAATTTTTTATAATTTTTTTAGTTGTGTGTAAATACTACATCACATTTTAAAAAAATTGAAAAAAATCTATATGGGCTATATCCCATATAGCCCTAACATAGATTCGTCCCTAGATATAGTACATTTTAAATGACTACATGTAAGGAACCATTTATAATTCGTTTGGTTTCTTATTTTTGTTATTGTCCAAATCTTAGCATATATAAATTGTAATAGTCTTATACGAACAATTTTATCTTATAATGTCATCTAAAACCATTGATTTAGGTTGTTTTCTTATTTTTGTTATCATCCAAATCTATACAAATAATTTTACCTTATGATATCATCTAAATCCATATATTTGGATGTTAGGGAGAGAAAACCTTAGATGCCACTAGGGATGGCAAAAATCCCCATGGGGGCGGGTCCCCATCAGGTCTCCAACCCTAACGGGGGGAGATTTCGGGGCTAAACGGGTATCGGGTACAGGGATCCCCGAACTTGAAAAATTCCCTACGGGTATGGGGAGGGGATGGTATTGGCGTCCCCATCCCCGAACCCGACTCGAAAATATATATGTTTATATTTAAATAAATAAATAAATAATTATAATATTTTTGTTTAACCCTAAGTTAACCTCCCTCTCCTAATTCTTCCTAATCTTCTTTGGAATTTCATATTTATGTGATTTTGAATAGTTGAGTTGAACTTTATAGTTAATTTGGAAGTGTTGAATAATAATTTAATATGAAACTTAATGTTAAAATGTATGATAAATATTTTTTATGCAAAAACAAATCGGGGATTCGGGCCGGGTATGGGGAATAGTCCCCCAATGGGAACGGGGATGGGGATTCCCCGAAACCTATTAAACGGGGATGGATTCGGGGACGGGGGAGGGGATGGAGAGCGAGGGCGGGGATGGTACTGTCATACCCGGCCCCTACCCGACTCGTTGCCATCCCTAGATGCCACCTCTTTGGGCGTGTTGACAACCATGATTTTCGTCCCCCCTTCCTTTCGTTTTTTTTTTCCTTTTCTCTCCACCTCCTTCCCTTCCCCTCCTCTTTGCTTCCCCCTCAAGCATCGTCTCCCTATCTTTTTCATTGGCTCGTTTATGGCATAATTTTGTAACATTATTTGTAGATTTATCATTTTTCGGTGTATTCACTTCCTTTGCCGAAAAGGAAAGTCGATTGGTGTGTACATGTTATCTTTTGGTGTTTGAGGACAGTGTGTTGGATTTGTGACAATGAGGTTGAAATTCAGCTAGTTTAGTTTCTTTATTTTTGGAATAAGTCTCAAAAACTCCCTTCGGGTTTTTTGTGTAGTTTTCACCTCTGATTTGTGCGAGCTTTTCACCTCTCCTTTGTGATAGTTTTTGTTTGTATTGTTTTAGCTTGGTTTTTCCAAGCTTGATCTCTTTTTTTAATTTTTCTAAGTTTGCAATCTTAGTCGGAATGCCTATGCCAAAGTTTCTTCAGTCCCGTGTGATCGTTGGTGAAGGCGCACCATATTGTCTTAATGTTAATGTTAGATTTCTCTGTAATTGTAATAGCCTTTTTGTGACTAGTTTGTATTGATTCTTTGTGGCTAACCCAAAATTTCTCAATAACAAAAAAAATCCAAAATTTGGAATCCCTCAATCCAAATGCAACCTTGAGTTTTCACTCATTTTAATTGTGAACATATAACCCCATCCAAAGTTATAATTGAGTAATTTAATTTGTAACACCCACAACAAAAGCAAAGGAAAGATGATGATGAGGAGTTCTACGTTTTGATGCCAGGAGGAATAATAGAATATGGACAACAATCAGGAATCTACAAAACACCGTTTTGCGACATATTCTGTCGCGGGAAGACAGCATAACAACCTAAACCCAAAAAAATCAATGGCTACTTGCTTTCCGGCTTTCTAACCGAAATCTTTGCCCGACTGCTTCAGTTCAGTACACGAGCCGCTCCTCTAAGTCTATATGAATATAAATAGAAACATCTATACTTATGATCTTCATCATTTGAAGTAAATAGATAAATATAAAACTCCTATCAAATTAGTGGTAAATGATTTTATATTCAACCAGTAACTTGATTAAAAATACTACTACAATCACTTCAATCCATATAAAAATTCCAAAGAAAAAGAATTCTAAAATTATAAATTCACTTCAGTCCTGATTTTATTAGTGTAAAATCGAATCATACCTACCAGCCGGTCAGGTTGCAGTCCGGTTTTTAGCACTATAGTTTCACCTATTCCAGCCACCACTCATATTAATCATCAAATGATTTAGTTTAAATCATATATATCATAGAAGTTGTATGCACGTCGTTTTAAGTAGCTGCTCCTTCTTCCTCAAGAGAATGCATTTCAAGGATTGCAACAGTCTCTTCCTTTGCACTGCAATGCCAAAACAGAGCACAGTTAATACCAGCAGACTAATGGACGCACAGGTAGAGACTAGAACCTAGTTGTACTAAATAAATGATTTGCATGCCCAAAGAAAAATAAAGAACAGGATATAAAGGAGACGTATCTAAAGACGGACATTTTCCACACGGATCCGTCTAAACAATCCTTAACATATTTAGCATTTGCAGTTCAAAAATTAGGAATAAATATAAATGAATATTGAACATTTTAAGAATATTGTTCCTTACATGCTATGTGCAGGGGTCAATATTTATCTAATACAGAAAGAAACATCTACAAACCTTATAGATATCCATTCCACCCACTTTGTTAATTCAACAAGAGAAAATACTTTTAAAAAAGGAATTATTAGTTTATTACTGTCATCTCTATGTGAGTAGTATTAGACAAACTTCAGCTAAAGTGCTTTATAATCAGACGCCACCCCCTCCTCAGGAAAATTCCTCTTTATAAGATGCTAACTATAATTTCCTTAACAACTTTTCCTAGATTTAAATAACACAACCATAACACTAATGTCACACAATTTCTTTTTCTCAGCCATTACTTTATAGGCAAGGTACTGTGTCAACTGGATGATTACCTTCCAGGTCGAAGAATCTTGTACTTGCCTAGCCTGGTGAGGTCCACGACTGTTGAGCCTGCACGGCCTGAAGGGAGCACACCACCATTGTAAACATATGCACATTGTTCCCAGAGGTTCTCAAAATCTTTGATGGAAACACTACTTGGCTGCCCACTTAGGTTTGCGCTTGTAAGGGCCAATGCACTCCCCAGTCTGCGGGCAACGTCCCTGATGAAGTTACAGTCAGGCACTCGGACTCCTATACTATCCAATCCTGGGTTCAGAGACTTCTCAAGAATGCTCAACTCCCCTGCAAAATACCCAAACTAGCTTTTCTCATTCAAAACTGAAAGTGAAAAATATCAAGCTGAAAACCAAACCAATCCCAAGGGTTTGCAGCATCAGTCAAATGGTAGTGCATATCAAAAAGATAAATTATACTTGAATACAACAATTTCCTTTCTTTCTTTATACCTCGGTTTAGTACAAGAGTAACAGGTCCTGGAAGGAGATTCTCAAGTAAGCCATGGGGCAAGTGTTCTGTGGCAGCAAACCGCTTAAGGTCTGGCACATCCCCAACACAAATTGCAAGAGGACTTGTATGTTTACGTCCTTTAATCTCATATATCCGATTCACTGCTTCCAAAGAACTGCAATTATTCTCCACCATTACAAGGTTACAAAATTACAAACAAAAAAAAGAAGACGGTGGGTTTTCTTGTAAATCATCATAACAAGAATAAGAGCACTTCCTTTAAACAAACCAATATCTCAGAAACAAGAATTCAGACAATGAGGAATTTTCACAAACAGGTACAATGCATGGAATAGATTGTCATACCAAGCATCGCAAGCGAAACCGTAAAGTGTATCGGTAGGGACTGCAATGACTTTGCCGGCTCTGAGAGCTTCAACTGCCTCTTCAGTGTGAGCTCCGGTGGCCGGTCGAACTACCCCCACCTCAGTTTCAACTCCCGCATCGCACTTCTCTAAACTGCTAGCCATTTTCTCTTCAACGCAGCGTCTCAATCTCCTACTCTGCACTGTTGGCACTAAACCCAATTTGCGCACGCCTAAACAAAAAGAAGACGAAGAAAACAGTTAAGTTGAAATATGTCTGTTTTTTTCTTTATATTTGTAAGCTTAGAGAGAGAGAGAGAGAGAGAGAGAAACTGACTGACGGTGGTGAGAGATTAAAGAGCAGAAGCTCTGGAGACTGAGAGAGGAGGAGGGAAGCAAAGGAGAGGCGAGTAGGGGAAGTGTGGCTGCAACTCTCGCTGGAATGTTCATCACTCGTCGTTTGTCATGTGTCAACTGGTCAACGATGACGATCAGAAGCCCATTTACATAATGGTTGGTTGATTGTTTTCTTCCTTAAAAGGCCAAGTTACACAAATTGTCCCTAAACTTTGTTGAAGGTTTTATCTAGGCATAATTACTTTTCATACTATAATATTATAGACACTTGTTACATAATTTCCTAATTTTTAGTTACCAATTAATATGATACTTTCTTGTTTATTGTGAATAAATAGTTCTATAATAAGTTCATACATAAAACAAATGAAATATTGTCACATCAGTTCGTATTTTAAAAGTTTGAGATATGTGCCAATTAAAGATATTAAAGCAACTTGTGCTAAGAATTCCTGTAAAAGTAAGTCACATGCATTGCACGTGACCGCCAAATCAAAGGCATTTTTGTAAATTTAAAAAATCAGCATGTTTTGTTAGGCTTAGATTATACTAGATTTTTTTTTAATACCATTTGTATTGTGCAAAAACTTCTTTTGCACAACTTTGAGTGTCTACAATCATGCTCCCTATTATTTATTTGAAATTTAGCTAAAAATACACAAAAACTGTTATAGGAGTTATCTATAAAATTTCAACTTCAATTATATTCCCTAGTTTAAGGAGTCATAAATACTATAATTATTTTGTAAAAAGTTGGGAAAAGAATTGGTGCCCGTAGCATTACCAAATTAAAATTTTAAAATATGCATAAAACAAAGCAACATTAAATTACAGGGAGCCACTAGGATTCCTTTCTCTCTCCTCATATTTAGAAGCTCCTAAAGGTCTCCCTATTTTAGGAGGTGGATAGGGAACATGGTTGAAGTTGTATTTTTCCAATTACTCTCTAAAATTTGTCTAGGAGGTGGTTTAGAAAGCCCATTTCAAACAACAATTTACATGAAGAATATTACCACCTCTCTTACTATTATACCCATAAAACTTTGTTTGAAATTGTTGTTCTAGTTAGCAAAGAGATTGCAAAATCATCATCTTGCATTTTTCTTACAACATGTAAAAAATAATCTTAACCTCTCAAATTCTTTCATAGTTAGTAAAATACGGAACTGGATATGAATAAAATACGTATGTCTTTTATTCGGCAAAATTTTGGCAAGTTACAACTGAATTGAAACGTTCGGCCACTATATAATATTTAAATATATTATTTTTATTCAATAATATGTGAAAATTACGTGTATAATACGTGAATTTTGTGTGTATTATTGAAAATTTGGTAAAAACCACATGTATCAAACATGAAAAATATGTACATACGAGTACAATACATAGTTTGTTTTTTTTTAATGTGTATTTTGCCAAGTCTTTAAGACGTGTATGGAAAACGAAAGTATTATTGAAAAATATGTACATACGTGTATAATACAAGAATTAAATGGTAAAATGCTAAATTATTTATACGGGTAATAACTCTGGGAAAGTAAAAAAATCAAAAGAGGACAATAAAGACTTGGGTAATGGCCTAATAGTAATGGATAATGCTCTAAACTACTCTTATTGATAAAAGAAAATTAGGGAAAATATAAATAAATAAATAAATAAAGGATGTGACTATATTTAAAGAGTATAGCCGGGCGGCTATACTATGTGGGAGGCAGAAATTCTGAGGTGTTCTGCATTAATGTCCAAAAGTGAGGTCTTGCAACATACTAAGGCTTCTTTTGCTATTGTGGGAGGCAGGAAGTGCATGAAATGCCATCACTTATTTTGTATCAATTGCAAGGTTCCTTGGCACTATGATATGAGTTGCTATGATTACCGAAGATCAGAAACCTATTCCCTCGCAGAAGGGCAATTGCTAAAGTCGCTCGCGATGAAGAAACTATGGCGCCAGTGTTCCAAGTGCAAACATTTGGTTGAACTTGATAGTGGCTGGTACCACATCACTTGCAGGTGCTTTACTCTCCTCCCACTTCAATTTGATTAATCTTTTGGTTTCTTCTGTTCTGCTTTAGTCCCTTACTATTATTATTATTTTATAAACTTAGCAAAGTTTTATAGGGAAGAATGAATAAGAAAATGGCAATTAAAATAGACACTTATGAAAACAAGATGATTGGGTGAAGTACCTATGATTTCTTGTGGGAGAAAAATGATCTTGTGTTTCCATTCAGCCATCAGAAGAGGAAAAAGGGTTCTCCCAGTCACTCTTCTCAACCCTTTCAATAGAGTTTCCAATAAACCCAATAACGTACCCAAAATTCGCAATTTGTTTTCTCTCGATTGGTTCATGTCAACCCTAGGCAAGAGAACACTGACATTGTAACACTGTTAAATTGCCTATTTAAATTCAAAAGTAGTTGTAGGAATCCCTCAAGTTGTGAGAAACCCCTATCCCTTGTAATTTAAACTATAATTTGTATTAAAAAAAATGAATACCTCAAGTAAGAAACACATTAAAAGCAAGGTAGGTTAAACCGAATCACCTTAGAAGCAAGGTACATAAGATTCCACTGTTACATAACATTGCTTGCTTCTTTGGTTTCACTCTTTTTTTTCTCTTACCAGGTTTCACCCTTGTTCTTTTTCTGGACGCTGGTACATTTTCATACTCTGTATCACTACTCCTTGTTGTTTGTCTCATGTCTGCGTTGTCTTTGTAGATGTGGACATCAGTTTTGCTATACTTGCGGAGCTGAATGGAAGAACAAGAAAGCAACATGTGACTGCCCACTTTGGGATGAGCATTACATAATAAGCTTAGACAGCAACATGCTCCTGCCAATTGCAACCTGTAATTTCATCACTAACAGAATTATCACTAATTGTATGATGTTCCTAGAATTTCTAGGATGTGCTACTTTTATGAGGTTCTTATTTCGTAATTGTTCTTTTAGACTGACTTCCGTGGGAACCATCAAAGTTCCAACTGAAAATGTTTTCTTTCAAGGTTTAACTTGCAGCTGCTGTTGTCTTGCAAACTACTATGATGAACACTGGGTTCCCCGGATCAAAGAGAATAAATAATATGTGGATTTCTATCCAACTGAGGATAGTGTCTTTGTGGAAGTCGTGTTTTGCTTTCTTTTTCATTTATCTATTTTTTCTAGTGAACTTCCTTTTTAATTTATTGATACCCTCAAATGACATGTCTCGAGAAATACTTACCTGTATCGGAGTGTATTTGGAAGTCCCTCGTGATGCTCTCAACCAAGATGGAATCTGCTGGGTTGTGGTTTTCAGCTTAGGCAACAATATCATAGGGGTTAAAAAAATTGAATGTGAGTGTTTGATGTAGAATCTGACCACATGAAATGAAAGGAATAGAAATGAACTAGAAAACAGAGTTCACATGGCTAAAGTACAATTGTGCTACATATTATATTGGGCGCGAACCGCTGTATTACTTGTCAATTTTACATCTCTTTAAAGGAGGCAAACTGCAGCATTTAAGTTTAATGAATCTGGGACGATGAACCTGAACCGAAAGTGCATGATAATGTATTCAGAAATCATTCATATGCAACTTTGGAAACGTTCACACTTATTCTTCTTCTTGTTAATAATCTCTCAGCCTATATTTAGTTTTGTGGGTTTTGCAAGGCATTGCAAACATGTTTGAGTTCCCACATTGGAACACTAGAGTTCCTTGGAAATCTTTATAAGACCTACTCTAGGAAATAGAATAGTTTGTATTGCCTATGCAAGTGGTCCAATTGGTTAAATGCCTAATTAGTTGGGTCAATAGTTAATTAATATATTTAATTAATCAAAAGATGGGCCTTGGGCTCTATGATTTAAATTAAAAGAGTAATTATCCATTACTATTAGGCCATTACCCGAGTCTCTATTGTTTCTTTTTAATTTTTTACTTTTCTAGAGTTATTACCCATATAAAGAATATAGCATTTTCACGTTTAATACTCTATTATACACGTACGTACGTATTTTTCAATAATACATTCGTGTTCTATACTCGTCTCACGTTTTTTAAAAAGGAAATGTGGAATAGTCGTATTGTATATGTACATAAGTATTTCTAATGTTTAATACACATTTTTTACAAAATTTGCATTAAGACACACAAAATTCACGTATTATACAAATAATTCTAACATACTTTGAATAAGGGAAAAAAAATAGTACCGCCGCACGGCTATACTCCGTGTTTTTTATTTTTTAAAAACAGACTAGTTTTGACACGTGGCGAGTATAGCCGAACGGCTAGACTCGGTTTTTTTAATTTTTCCAGTACGGCCGCACGGCTAGACGTAGTTTTTTATTTTATTTTTCTAGTATAGCTGCACGGCTATACTAGTTTACACGTGGCCCTGTTCTCTTTTTTATATATATAATAAATAGTAAGTAAATTTAGGTTTTAGCAAAAAAAAAAAAAAAAATCACTTTTGGAAAAAGCCAAAGCTTTTTCAAAAAAGACAAAAAGACCTCTCAATTTTCAAATCAAAGACATGCAAATGTAAATGATTCCTTAGGAAATCCAAAAATAAATAAGGGCAATTTTGTCCATTTTGGCTTCTTTTAAAAAATTTATCTCTCCTTTGTCTTTTTACAAAGTCTCCTATTCTCGATTTTTTCCAATTGTTTTTTTAAAAAATAGTATAGCCAGCCGGCTGTACTGTACTTTTTTTTTTTCTCTTGAAAAAAAGTCTTCAACAAATAGTATAGATGAGTGGCTATAGTCTTTTATATCTATACACATCTCATGTGTTTTAAAACAGAAATGTGGAATAGTCATATTGTACATGTACATAAGTATTTCTAATGTTTAATACACTTTTTTTTTTAAATTATAAAATTTGCATTAAGACATACACAATTCACTTATTATATAAATAATTCTCACATACTATTGAATAAGAATAATATATGTTATAAAAATTATATTACAATATTATATAGTGGCCGATTAATATCTACTTTGGATATTATGATACTAGCAAATTAATATATATAAAGTACAAACTAATGCAATTAGGAGGATCCTTTTTTCTTTCTTTCTTTTTTTATTAAATATTATAGTCGTGCGGCTATTTAGCCGGTCGGCTATACTACAATTTTTTTTTAAAAACTAATTTTTAACACATGGCGCTAGAGGGTCCTCTTTTTAAAAAAAAATAGTTCAGTTGGACGGCTATATTCCGTGTTTTTTAATTTTTAAAAATGCAGTTTTGACACGTGGCGACTAATTGGTGGGGGTTTTTTAAATTAAAAAATAGTATAGCCGTACAGTGGGGCACAGGTTTTTTAATTTTTCCAGTATAGCCGCAGGGCTGTACGATTTTACACGTGGCCGCCAAAGGGCTGTGCGTCTGTTCTCCTTTTTTTTTTTAATATATAGTAAATAATATAGCCGTGCGGCTATACGCTTTTTTTTAAAATATAGCATAGCAGGCCGGCTTTACTGTTTTTATTTATTTATTATATATATATAAAAGAGAAGTGTGGGGTTTAAATAGAAAATCTCGAATTTAATCTGATCTATTGTAGGTCAGTGGGTATAACTAAGTTAATTGAGTTCTTCCATCTCCATGCATGTGGGCAGAAGTTTGAAACCCCCAAAACCCAATGAATATTTGTGTAAACCCCCCTCCCCAAATCATTTGTACCAAAAAAAAAGTTCGATCTTCATGCTTGAGGTTGAGATGTGAGTCGAAATATTTTCTCTATCTCAAAAGCGCACACAAAGCCTGTGAGAGTTTTGGTTTGCAAATGTGACCAACAGCATTATAACAAAATGCGTCTTTACTTGCTAATTGGTGCCACTGCTGATATTTTGGAGGCTATACACAATCTCAAGTCTTGTATTAAAAGTGGGAAGGATATCAAATTCCTGAATATATTACAGAAGTATCAAAATTCTCACCTCAGCTATAAGCATACTTATATGATATTAACCATTGATGCCATAACAATTTAAGCCCCACTAAAAGTAACTGGATTTTCTCCTTCGGTGCACGCGCTGGTCTTAAGGATTGGCATATCCTGTGTGAATTTATGGTACCATACCGGTGAAGTGGCCTGGTCATGTGAACGTTTAAGAGCTAAGCGGTTGCTGTGAGGTAGTTTGCCACCTTCTTTTCCATCTCAAGCACTCGACAATAATGGAACTCCCACTCATTGCAACACCCAACCCGGCAAATGTTGCAAGCAGAATACAAAGAACTGCTTGCACACGGACCTGAGGCCACAACATAATGCAAGCATTTAAACATATTTGTATAAGATGACGGGTCTTAGAATGAACCTAAACAAGGCAAAGGAAAATATAACTTGTTGAGGAAAGCCTCTTACCAATGAATAAAATATATGTGCAAATAGAACCACCAGAGCAAACTGAACCGATGCATAAACCCAGACAAATCTTCTTTTCACTAAACACAGAAGATTCACAAGTTAGGGAAGTGAATCAACAATTTATAAGTAGTGAAGTTGATCTTAAAAGAATATTATGATAATAATTACAGCCACTGGTGCACGAATATCTATTTTTCCACTAATTTCTTGAAACCTATCAACTCTTTACGTCTGCATTCGATCCTCCAACCCCAAGTTGTGGTTTTTTCACCACAAATGAGCACTCCAATCATCACCACTCGCCATATTCCAGTTCAGTCAGTAAGTCCTCAAAATCTATCCTATCAAGATTACACAACTTAATGAAAAATTAAGGATAAATGCCAGCCTACCCATGGTTGTTGAGGTCATGGATGAGAGGAGACCCAATACGCAAGAAAATGGAAGAGATATGGCAATTGCTCCAGTACCCATCTTCTCAACCTGCAGTGAACATATATATCACCAAAGAGACAGAACAACCAAAAATGACAGATCTGCAGTTTCAATTTCTGATCTTACCAGGAGCTGCTCAAGAAAACAAAAGTAGGCAAGCATGCTGATAATGACAAGCACGGGTACTTCCTGCCAAACCCTGAAAAGGTATGAGCTAAGAATATTAGCTCATGAATGTTGTTCTCTATTGACCAAGTTGCATGCTTGGATAGGAAGCTATCTTGTTAAAGTCCACCAGCATGGGGAAGGTCTTGTTTAAAGGCCAGTAAAAACATAAGTTGCGAGACAATCTTCACTAGATCCATAGCGAGATAACAGTTTTCATGACTGAACCATATCTGCCTATGGAGTACATATAGGTGGCATCAATCAGTCAAATGCAAATTCTGTGATTCCAAAATTTTCTTTTCGTTTCCTAAAACTTATTTACAAATCGCCAAAAAAATGGAGTAGAGTGTTAATTATGATGCATTAAACAATAAAATGTTATATATGCCCACACAAACTTGCCTGTATCCATTAGCATCTTCCTGATCAATTCTACTTGTTCCAGCATTTCGAGCTCGAATACTTTGAATTCGTAATAGAGTGACAGGCAGGTTTTGAACCTCTTGCTTGCACACATCACAGGTCTTGTTACCTTTGATGCTAAACCATTTTATAGCACATTCTTGGTGAGCCAGAGCAAGTTCACCTTTGCAACTGCATTCCATTTTGAGGGTCTCACCCCCTTCGCATAGTTCAACTAGACAAATTCTACAGACAGCCTCTTCTTCAGATATGTCTTCACCAGCATCATCATCATCTTTTCCTGAACCATGCGAACAATAAGACATAGTTGGTAATCACAAGCAGCAGATTTGGGACATGCAGAGAGTAAGAACGCAAAAACTAGCCTGAGAAAATTTGTTACTCAACAAAGTTATAAGTTAGAAACGCTATCAAGTAAAATGCAAAGTGTTTACAACTTTAACCATTGTGCATGAACAGACAAGAAAAGTACCAGAATCCACCGTTGGGGAACTAATCGATATTACATCCACTTCCTTCACTCGAGGAGTCGAAGGAATTACACGAAAAAATGAATCCATCCTCCTTAATTGTCTTTCTTTATTGTTGACAGGTACTGAAAGTGAGCGAGATATCTGTACTTGGGATTCTTTCCGCTGAAAAAAAATAAAGAAGAAAACCCTTAAAACAACATGATGCCTATGTTCACAGATGGACATGACTGAGATGTTAAGGCTTGTCAAAGAATTGGATTAGATGAGGTTAATATAATTATCCTTCCCTGTTTACTTTGATGGCCTAGTTAGCATACATTCTATGTATTAAAATATATGTTTCAATTTTAACTTAATTCTGCTTGCCTTAGGGATTAATTGAACACTAAATTAAACAAGTTTAATGAAGCTACATCAGTAATGATAACAACCATGTCGCGGTGGGTAGATCATCTAGGTTAGATTAGACACTCTTGAGCAATATTGTATGGAACCTACTATTGAAGTCAGAGAGCCACCAACACTTCCACCATGTGCAGATTCTGGGTGTGAAAGAGCAATTGGAGTAACAGGTAAGGATGATGTTCTCCTCATCCGGGGCGTGAATAGCTTTGTGAGGGACAATGACCTTGAAATGGAAGGCTTCTCCCTCACTCCTGTAGATGACCCTTCTGAAGCTAGGTTGGAAGCCTTCTCGATATCCGAAGAGCTTCGATACTTAAAACTTAGTTTTGGGAAAAGAGCTTTTATAGATGATTTGCCTTTAGCTGAAGAGGGGCCTGGTGATCCACTAACTCTTGCATCTATGGAACCAGGTGTCAAGAGAAAATTTACTTTCCTAGGAGTGGGGCTTGGTGTTGGAGGCATCTTTATTGCAACAAAATTTTCAGCACAGTCTTCTGATGTTCTTGAAGGTATCTCCAGGTAGAGATTTTGTCGCTTCCATGGATGAACTTGGGGTGCTTCTTCAGTTACTCCCATTGAGTCTTCAATCTGAAAAATACAAAGGATATGGCATGAATTGAAGCGGATGAAAATAGGTGCTGAATACAATCTAGACTTTATTTTAGTTGCCAGCTTAACAATCTTTTCTCATTTCAAGTTTTGCAAAAATTTAGTAACTGTTTGTAAATCTAATATAAGAAACTCTGAAAAAGAGAAGTAACCTAAAGAATGCCAGCCTCCAACTTTTGGAACCAGGGTAAGAATTTACTAGTTAAACTGAAGTATTGCATTGATAGAGCTGGTTTAAAATCTACATTCTGCTGTTCTAAATTTTATTTTTTTTGCAAGTAGTTTATATAAAGATTTCTTTTTCTAGGCATAGATTTACTAGAATGAGGGGAAAAGCAAACAACATGATCTACAAACCTAATGGGCACTGACAATTAAATACATGATCCACAAACAAACATGATCAAATTTTTTCGGGACTAGATACACGTTCTTGTCCTAGTGTCATCTGGATACGGAGATTCCTGATTTGTGGGTAAGTTTTCAACATATGGAGTTGGAGCCATATCCCATAAAACGTCAACAGCAATGAGTTTCTAATAATCAACAAAGGTCACAACTTGAACGCAACATGCTGTAACTTTAACATGTTTGAACTTGGAGATTAGAAGTAGTACTTTATATTAAATGCACAAGTTCTGGGTATTAAGATCTCCGTACATAATATCAAAAACACATTAAAAAAATTATCATTTGATTTAGATTGAGGCACATGTTGTTAATAACTCCCATGTGCATTGTAAATTACACAAAATGGGTGTGGCTGAGATATGTGAGAGTTACTAAAATCTAAGTACATGCATATTGAGAAATCACAAGTTAAATTCCATGCATGTATTTTGATTTAAGTCATTCTCAAAAATCTCAACCAAATCCACTCTGGCAAGATACCCACAATTTGTCCTTCAGTGTTTTCTTAATATAATTGCACTGTTTGCACACCATCGAGTTTGGGGAACTAACACATCAGGTCTGCCTTAGGCTCATTTCCACAGACAGATTGTAGACCTATATAAATCCAATAATAACTTGGGAAAATTTCTTTTCGCAACTGACAGACAAAACTGCGACGCATAACCAATTTTGTAGAAATCAGAGGAAGTCATGTATTGCAGATTGTAGAAGAAAGAGTTACGCAGTTGATTTTGTAGACAAACATTTCATGTTGGACAACTGAATTAGAAATGAGCAGTACAAGTAAAGCCTTGCTGCTTTTGCAGTTCTGTGCATCATTTATAAAAATAAGTTCGTTCAAACATCATTTGTCACACAAATCAAAGCAAATGCGCCCAAATGAATGATTTCATGACATTGTTATGGTTTTACAAATCAGTGGTAGAAACCCAAAAGCATAAAGGAAATATAAAAAAAAAAGATCCCAATAGCTCATCAATCAAAGAGAAAAGTCAATATTTTTGGACTGATTCTTTTTTTCTTTTTGGCTTATTAAACAACACAAAACAACAGCATCAGCATCACAGAGGTTTAAACCTTAAACTTAAACTTAAACCCATGTCAGCATCTGACAAAAATGATGAACCAAACAACTAAGGTATGCCATATCCTATATCAAACAATATACATGAACACACACAACTACACAATCCTATCAGATAAACAAAGGGGAGAAAGAAAAAAAACTATAAAAGGAGTTATTGAGAAGCTCAAAAGACATGGAAAATGGGAGAAAAATGGTGATACATAATTAGAAAGTGAAGGAAATTATAAATCAATAAGAAGAAAGCAAAAACAGAGAAGCATAAAGTTTGTACCTTGTGAACAGGAACAGCAATTGTTCCTTGGGTTGAATTCTCATCACGATCATGGACCTCAGCCTCATGCTTTTCCTCAGTTCCCATTTTCTCATTACTCATAAATTACCAAAACCAAACACAATCCAATTCAAAACACCCTTCAAGCAACAAGCCTAATCCAACCAAACTCAAAAAGAGTCCCCAAAAAAGAGTAACAAAAGAAGACAGGGAAAAAGAGAGAAATTATAATGGGGTTATGGAAGAGGAAGCAGATAGCTTATTTTCTTGAGATGCGTGAGGGGAAGTGAAGAAAGGTAAAGCAGGGAAGGGAGGAGTAAATAAGAGGAGAGGGAGATAGAGAGAGAGAATGAAGAAGATGCTTCTCTCAAATTCTCATTTATGGCAAAAGGTGGTGGGAAGACTGGCCTACTGCCACACTCTTTATTCACATTTCAAGTGCGCGCGGCCTCCGGTCTTTTTTTTTTGGCTTAGCCACGCTAACTATACCCCAAATAATTATACACCATGACATTGACAAGTCCAACTTTATTTTTTAATGTAATTTCAAAAAAAAAAAAAAAAAAAAAAAAGGTTCCTCTCATCTAATTTCAGTTTCTCACTAGAACTGGTTCAATGATCAATTGTACATGGTTGCACGAAATTCTCCCATGGAGGATGAGTGTTGCGGGGTTAATAATGTGGGATGTTAGTGTCGGTCGCACATAGTTGCATCAAAATTTTTAAACACCAAATGTATATTGAGTGATTAATGTAGGATGTAAGTGTCGGTAAGTCGTCAGTAACTTCCCGCATTAATTCCACGACTTTCATATTATATTGAAGAAAATTTCATAGCTGATATGTGTGGATTAACTCTTGAAAATTGATTTTGGTGTGCTCTTGTTGTGATTATGTACTGAATTATGTTTATATTCTTTGTCATTCTATATTATTTATTGTGACAAGGGACTGTGCACCAAAATTGAATGTGCAAATCCCTATTTGACCGCTGCATTATATTACATTTTTAGGTACATTGCAGCAACCCTGTACCTAAACTGTGGCCTATATTTCCATATTTATTTATCCAAAAAAAGTTATCACTCACAGTTCTAAGGACCCATTTCTAATTGTCGTGAGAGGGAAATCACTAAGAGAAATGGGTGCACCAAGTGACTGTGCACCTGGCGGCAGGGAGGGACGGTGGGGAAGATAACTCACGAAATCATAAAAGATCAAATCAGCCACATTGGTGATGAGGCCACTAAGTGAACCTACTAATTAAACCCCCTGCCTCTTTTCCTTTCACTTGAGTCTTTTTAACATTATCTCATATCTGGAGAAAAAAAACTCCAACAACGCAGAAAAGATAATGGAATATCAGCACTTGTTCATTTCCCAGTCTTGTCTTCAATTCTCCTTTATTATGGATACCGAACTCGGTTCTCATGGACGGTATTGTTTGACTGGCTTGCCTAGTTGTAAGATTGTCAATAAAAGATACTCTAATCTTCAGCCATTAGTAGGTAAGTCTTCCCGTACGCTCTTAAACCTATCTACCATTGACACACACAACAGAGACATGTACAGCAAACAACTTTAAGTAGGAAGCAGGTTTGTACTTTGAATTGTTATTGCTTTATAAGTTCTTTCATTTCTATACCTCCTTCCTTTGTCTAAAGGCGGTCAAGATTGGACCAGAGAGGGGACCGATGGTAAAGGCAAACATGGATTCTGTACCAAGTTTCTCTTTGAAAGCTAATCTTACCTGCACAATTCATTGTTTACCAATTAGGTAGTTAATGCACTCATAATCAATGTCTAAAGTTGTGATAGAAACCCACCAGCCTTTTGCTTTTTCACACAATGCTTTTGTAAAAAGGACCTCTATCTCTAGTTTCTTGGGCGGGAGAGACTCTCTGTCTCTGTGCTTTGAAGTTTAATCCATGCCGTCAAAAAAGCCATTGGACTACAGTCAACCTTCCGTGCTTGCTTTCCCTAACTTGATTAAGACATGCCATCTAAAAATATTACATTTGGCAAGAATGAATCATGCATGGCTGCAAAAAATGTCGAAGATTCAAAAATAACGATATCCAGCTGCCTGGTCTGAAATCTGGAGGCCAGAAATTGGAGAAAAAATTTGTTAAAAATTGGATCATTTAACCTAACATGCCTACAATTTTGTTAGGTAAAAAGGGGAGTGTTTTCACTCCTTAAATAGTGGATGGGTGGCATTTTAAAGTAACCCATTAAGGATTATTTTTCAAGATTTAGAAATATAATCACTCGAAGCCTTATCGAACACTCTCAAGCCCCGAACTCGAGGGGTTAAAGTTATAAAAATGAAAAGATTACTTTGATAGAAAAAGAGCGTGACTGTGTTAAAGTTATGGGTGGTGTAAAGAAGTATATATTATAATCCAAAGCGATCCCCCTTTCAGTGGTTCCAGTCTATTTCATAAGATGGTGGATGACTTTGTTTCCAAGGCAGTGGGATAGTAGTTGCTTGCTGTCACCACAAAGATTATTACCACATCCACAACCATCTTGTAGTGGGATTGAATTGAGATCATGAAATGGTCGGAACAAAATGACACGTGTTTCTTAAAGTCTTAAATGGCTGCTAAAACAATCAGAAATTATGAAAAAAGAAAAAGAAAAAGTGAAACCCAATACGGCTCCATTGATATCATAATCTTTTAGGCCTAATCGAAATCATTTGAAAGGACACATATGACTCATACTTATTTTATTTCACACTTAAACTCCAGAATATAAATTCTTATCTTTTTCCTCCTTTACAATTACATATATATAATTCTGCAGAAAGTTTCCACATCCCCCACCAACAGATGTAAAGCTGTTGTTATTACCTGCCAGCGGCAACCAATTTAAAAGAAGAGAAAGCAAAAGAGAGAAAAGGAACTATGAAGAAAAGCAGTGTGTCCTGTTACAGCGTAAGCAAATCAAAGGCATGACTGGGTTGTTTACAAATAATTAGAGAGGAATTAAAACCTCTCTTGAATTTTAATTGCTAAATGATGTGGTAAATGATATGTCAGTAGCTTACTTGTTAGAAATATATTAGATTTACATTTAAGACTATGAACAAGTAAATGTCGTTTTATCATAGATAACTATTCGATCTAGTAACATTTTGAAGGAAGTTGAGGTTTCACTCCAAAATCAATTGGCAATTGGGGGAGTAGCTCAACTCCTTATAAGCTTTTACTAGGTTTCTCAACTTTTCAATGTGGGACTTTTTACTTTCACATTCTCACACGCCCCCGCACGTGTGGCGAATTTTCAAACTTAGCACGTGGACAACATATATTGGGTGATGTTGAGCACACGTGGTCATTGGGCTTTCACACGTGGGCTAACCCCGCTTTGATACCATGAAGATTTTCAATGAATGTATATTTCATCATGAGGAGATTTACATAGTACACAAATATATAGAGAGATTGAGTGAGGGCAAGAAACCACCAAACAACATGCCTTACCCTGACCACAAACTTTATCCACAAATTAAGCTGTAAATGCCGAACACTAATTACAAGAAAACCTTAAATCAAGTTAAAGGTGGTAATCACAACTCACCATTTTGGTTTAGTGGTGACTACATGAAACTCCCACCTGGTCATCCTCAAGGTTGTGATTCAAATTTTGTTTGTAAACTTCACAAATCCATTTATGGATTGAAACAATCTCCTCGTTCCTAGTATGCCAAGCTAAGTTCGGTTCTTGAGGCAATTGGCTTCCAGCGAAGCAACGCAGATTCCTCCTTGTTTGTTCGCACTGGATCATTTGGAAACTTAGTTGTCCTTGTATATGTTGATGATCTCATTATCACGGGGGTGATAATGTTGAAGAGATTACCAATCTCTCTATATATTTGTGTATTATGTAAATCTGTTCATGATGAGTGAAACAGGATCCGATGCTAGATTTGATGTGCCATCATTGCAATAATACTGGGCATGTAATAGAACGATGCTGGATTCTATACCCATAAGTGAAGCCTATGTTTGCAGCAGACAACAAGGGTGCTTAGAAATGTTCACAGAATTCAGGCTACAAACTTTTTGTACTAATGCTTAGCATGCAACTTTTTGTACTGATGGCCTTCAAACTTCATCTCGAATCTTGTTTCACTCGTCATGAGGAGATTTAAACAGTACACAAATATATAGAGCGATTGAGTGAGTGCAAGAAACTACCAAACAACATGCCTTACCCTGATCACAAACTTTATCCACAAATTAAGCTGTAAATGCCGAACACTAATTACAAGGAAACCTTAAATCAAGGAAAAGGTGGTAATCACAACTCACCAATTAGGTAGAGTGGTGACTACAACCTAACATATACAGAAACTTTCAAAAATATATTCAATACATTTAAATCTCCACATTGTTGGAGAAAACCCGAAGTTCGAATCTCAAGTTTATTTTGTGTTACTATCATATATCTAGTGATATCAGAATTTTGAGATTTGTTTTAATACCAACTATTTTTTTTCTCTCTTTCTTTGACTAGGTACATTATAGGCTGGATTTATTTTTCTTATAAGCTATATATTAGATAGATGTGTATTCTTATCTAACTCGATGGGGGTAAGCATGCACCTTTGGGAGAATGGAAGACAATGTCTACTTGTTTGGACTTGGACACAGTGGAGAATAGGGGAGTGGTTTGTTCATAACGTGTTGGAGCATTTTTCTTTTTGGGAAAATACAGACAAATTACAGATACAAACAAATCTTAGTTAAACGTCTTTCATTTTTGTCGCATTAAAATTAAAAATTAAAAATTAAAAATAAAAAAAAACTTTCATTTTTGTACTTTTAATGAGGTAATTCTATTAGGACACTCCCTCCCTTCTCGGAAGAGATATTCCTACGTCATACAAATTACAATTTAATATATATACAAAAATAATTCATCAAAAATAGAGAAAAATCTCTACATATGTCAAACTGTGATTTGTCTAAAAATAAGAGCTCCTATTTCCAAAGAAAGAGACCAGAATTATCCTTCCATATGCAAGGAGTGGCTGCTCCTTACCAGTGGTCTTTTAGTTATGTATGGATGTGTACACGTCCGTGAGATTTGTATAAAAACGTGCACAGGCAAATAGATTGAAACCTAACCTATTACTTTTTACCACAGAAATTTACTCACTTGTTACCTACCTCCAATATGGTATAGCCTAGAGATTAAAAATGAAATAAATGAACATGTTTGGAAAATGTTTACAGTAACGCACATTCCATTATCCTTCAGAAGACATTAAAATTTCAAAAAATTGACAATTTGAAAATCCCAATACATGGCCTTTATGTAAGCATAGGCATACAGAACCAGC